GTTTCTATACAGACTGTTGGTTCCTCGCTTCTTAGACATATGTACTCCAACTTTCAAGGAAACACCTCTTATTAGTCGACTATTACGACATGCTTGTTAGGAAGCAGTGAGATAATTCCCCCCCCCCCCCCCACAAACAAGGCTCTGTAACCCACACGAGAATATGTCCCAAGAAATATCAGAATCGATCTTGATAGGAATAAAATTCCTACTTCCGGCATGCAGATCAATAAGCTGCTGTTTGAGACCTTTTTATCTCCAGGGGCCTCAACAAGTTCATATTAGTTGTTGACAATTGAATTTTATTGTAATAGAGCCCCTGAGACAGGGTTATTCAACCAGCCGTTTTTAATAATGTGCCACAATTTTGAAAATGGGAATTGTCACGGGCCCAGCGCGCACAGGGCAAAAATATCAATACACCTGGCAATGATCCGCGGGCCACTTGTCGTGCCAGATTTGGCCCCTAGCTGCCAACTGAATTGTACATCTTTTAAAGAATTATATAAAATAATGTATATGTTTCGCACACACATTCTTTATTATTTCTTTTGCTAAAATTAAACGACAGTATATTTCAATCATTCATATATTTAAAAGGGGTATATATTCTAGTGTCCTCAGATTCATTTTCTTTTCTTTTTGTCAATATCTGCTTATACAGCTGAGCGTCGAAGTTCCTCAGACGATCGGCAGCCCAGCCAGGGCGCGCTCAGTCGCTTGATATGACATGATCTTATGCAGTCTTAATGTGTCAGTGACTCCTTCAATCCATGTTATTCTCGGTCTTCCCCTGCCTCTTGATGTTTCCATTTTCAGGTTGTACGCTCTTGCTGCTGGTATCGTTGGTTTCATTCTCATTAGATGGCCAAACCATTTCTTTCTTTGTTTCTCAATAAATTTGACTATGGTTGTTGTTCCAGCAGTTCTTGTGATCACGTCGTTTCTCATTTGATCTGTTCTGGTTTTATACACAGCCATTCTCAAACATCTCATCTCACAGGTGATTTGTTTTCTTTCGTGTTATTTTGTCAATGTCCAAGTCTGACTTTGGTAACCTAAAGTCGGTATAAATACTGTATTTATAATTTGTCTTTTTGTCTCTATTTTGAAAGCAGGGTGTTTTAAATTTGAAGCATGTTGGAACGTGACAATGTAGGCTTGTTAGATCCTCGTCTCTAACTCTCTGTCTGTTTTACTATTGTGTGTAAAGATGCTTTCCCAAGTATTTAAATTCTTGCTGCCTACATCACCCACTGACCACATCAACCACTGACCACATCACCCACTGACCACATCACCCACTGACCACATCAACTACTGACCACATCAACCACTGACCACATCACTCACTGACCACGACACCCACTAACCACATCAACCACTGACCGCATCACCCACTGACCATATTGCCCACTGACCGCATCACTCACTGACCACATCAACAGCTGACCACATCACCCACTGACCACATCAGCCGCTGACCACAATGCCCACTGACCACATCACCAACTGCCCACAATACCCACTGACTACATCGCCCACTGACCACACCGCCCACTGACCACTTCACCCACTGACCACATCAACCATTGACCATATCAACCACTGACCACACCGCCCACTGACCACACCGCCCACATCGCCCACTGACCACACCGCCCACTGACCACTTCACCCACTGACCACATCAACCATTGACCATATCAACCACTGACCACACCGCCCACTGACCACACCGCCCACATCGCCCACTGACCACATCAACCATTGACCATATCAACCTCTGACCACACCGCCTACTGACCACATCGCCCACTGACCACAACGCCCACTGACCACATCGAACATTGACCCCATCACCCACTGACCACATCACCCACTGACCACATCACCCAATGATCACATCACCCACCGACCACATCACCCAATGATAACATCACCCACCGATCACATCGCCCAATGATCACATCACTGACTGACCACATCCTCAACTGACCACGTCACCTACTAACCACATCACCCACTGACCACATCGTCCACTGACCACATCACCCACTTACCACATCCCTAACTGACAGCGCCACCAATTAACCACATCACCCACTGACCACATCGTCCACTGAACACAACGTTCACTGAACACAACACCCACTGACCACATCACCCACTGACCACATCACCCACTTACCACATCACCCACTTACCACATCACCCAGTGACTACATTGCCCACTGACCACATCGCCCACTGACAACATCGCCCACTGACCACATCGTCCACTGACCACATCACCCACCTACCACATAACCCACTGACCACATCACCCACTGACCACATCACCCACTGACCACATCACCCACTGACCATATCTTCCACTGACCACATCCCAAACTGACCACGTCACCCACTAACCACATCAGCCACTGTAACATCGTCCACTAACCACATCACCCACTGACCACATCACCCACTGACCACATAGCCCACTAAACACATCACCCACTGACCACATAACCCACTGACCACATCACCCACTGACCACATCACCCACTGACCTCATCGCCCACTGACCACATCGTCTACTGACCACGTCACCCGCTAACCACATCACCCACTGACCACATCACCCACTGACCACATTGTCCACTGACCTCATCACACACTAACCACATCAATCACTGACCACATCACCCACTGACCACATAGTCCACTGACCACATCCCAAACTGACCACATCACCCACCAACCACATCAGCCACTGTAACATCGTCCACTGCCTACATCAACCATTGACCACATCGTCCACTGACCACGTCACCCACTGACCACATAGCCCACTGGCAACATCACCCACTGACCGCATCACCCACTGACTACATCACCCACTGACCACACTACCCACTGACCACATCAGCCACTGACCACATCACCCGCTGACCTTATCACCCACTTAGAAACTGGTTTGTTGTGTCATAATATTCTCAGTCAATGCATAGCAAGAAGAATATGTTATGCAATCAATGCATATCATTGGGTGTTAGAAAAATAATTCTAGCATGCTATATAGAGCCGGTTCTGGGATATGGCTGTGCAGCCTGGACATGTTGAGAAAGGTGGAGACAGGCATGTTCCGTGCAGAGTGGCAAGCATCAATTCAGAGGTCCTGGGTAGTTAGCATCTTTTGGATATATTCTCTAGGTTATTACGATGGGTTGAGAAATGAGCAGGCAAATGGACTGGCCGGTTCTGTACCACTTAGCAGTAAATTGATATATAACAAGCTAGATATTGAGAGGGCACTTTGGGAGCGAGTGAACAGTGCGGAGGCACATCTAGATTATTACGGTCTGAGGAGAATGGCGCTGCGAGGAGTTACCAGATGATCTGGCAGACGCTCAACACTCACGGGAAGGGCGAGATGGAAATACAATCAGTTACTGGTGCCATCGAAATTGGAACTCTTCGCATGCTGCTGAAGGTGGGGACGGATCGCTTATTGGACTGTCCTGAGTCCTGTGATGTTGATTCTTAATTCAACATTCAGCCTGGCCAATAATAAACGAACCAAACAATTTCTGGAGGTCTCGGAGTTGTGCTTTTACGAAGGAGTCTTTAGAATTCACTACACAGCCAAAATGAGCAGCCAAGATGTTTTGGAAGAGGGAAAAGCTCGACGAAAACTTCAGAAATAAACTGTTGTCATGTTACGAGAAGAAGCAGACTGGAACGCTGTGTGACCACTAGAATGAGCTGTGGGAAAAGTTACAGAGGAAGACAACACTTGATGATGTTTCACAGCCTTTTGTCGTTGAATGGGAGTGGTATCAACACACGAACCGACATATGTTGTTGAAGATCGCAGGTTGTAGAGAGGTATGATCGCCCTCGCCATAGGCACGAGGATGATGAGAGGAAGAAAAGGTGTGGGTGTGAGGGGGAAGATCATTTTCATCATCATAAACGTCTTTGCCGACTGGCGTAGGCGATAATCCCTACCCAAAACCTAGAATTATGCCAGCGTGTATGTGTATCATGTCGTGTCTTTTACCAATGTCTTTTGATCAATCTTTCTGGCGGTCACGTGCTGTTTTAGTGTCTTTCTTCTCACAACGTGATTAAAACAATGATGACTGTCTCTTTCCGATATTTGTGAAAAGTTATCTTCGGGTACCGGCCTCTTTCAGAACCCCAAGTTTACTCATTTGCGATGTCCAAGAAAGAATGAGCACTCCTCAGAAAAACCACACCTCTGAGGTCTAAAGAAATCGTTTGGCGTGTTTACAGATGTCAATGATTGGCGTCCACATGTTAGCGTTGGCCCTGTGTAGAATGCAAAAAAATTGATTTTAACCTGAAAAAAAATTGTGTACCTTGGTAAATGCAGTCGCCACAGTCGAGACCAGCACATCTCGCTGGAAACCGCCCTATTGGAAGCGAGTTCAGCTTTCAGCAGCAGTGGTAATTTAAACAACAGTTTCAGGTCTATATATAAACAACGGATTATTAACATCATGGCACAACCTATAAGTGATTCATTCTACTACTCAAGCCTGAGTCCGAAGAATCTCAGCCCAGTGCACTAACTCCGTAGCACCGGCGTGGATCTCAAATTACTCCAAAATGTTCCCCCGACAGCGTCGTTAGGCTACTCTTTGGTATCCTGTTACACTCATCCGCATATAGTTGGGATATCGAGTATTTTGTCTACTTTTACGGTAGATATTTATATCTCTCACTTATGTTTGATTACGCAGTATCGCATAGTTTCTGTGTTAATTGTATAAGATAGTAGGAGTATAGATTGTATTCAACATATTTTAAATATACTCTCAAACAATAATAATAATTATAAACAGATTAATGAGAAAATCACCCATACAGTGGATTTTCAGCAAGTAGAAACCGAAGGTTGACATAAGAAAGCCGAAACGTTCACTTGTCGCGTGTGATAATGTGAAGCTGGCTAGGTTAATTGTTTGGTTTGGCATCTTTTGCTAATGTTGACCGGACCAGCGTGGCATGACATAACAACCACATGGCATTGTAGGGCTAATCTCTGGACATCTGGGTCACGTCGGCTGACCAATGGGAACCTAGCTGTGTTTGCACTGACCAATGGCAGGGGAGGGACATTGATAATGGAAACGCTACCTACAAACTACAGATTTGTGTTTCACATGCCAGGAATTTCTCCACATTGATCTAGCCTGTCCATAATTGTGTAAGTAAATGTCTGGTGTTTAGTGCATACAATTTTTGTTTTTGATAACTTGACCTCATCAATATATGCATGTAAAGAAAGAACTCTTTCATAGGCGTGCTGGGCACTGATTTAATATACGTATATATGTATGTCAACTATTTATGACACTTTCTCCCGCCTTGCACCCTCTTAGTTTCTGCCTCCCTTTCTCTCTCTCTCTCTCTCTCTCTCTCTCTCTCTCTCTCTCTCTCTCTCTCTCTCTCTCTCTCTCTCTTCCCCTTACTCTGTCATCTGTACCTTCTCTCATCAGTCACTATCTCTCCCGCCCCCCTTTTCTTATATTTGTTTCATTTCTTCCTACATTTCCTTTGTCTCTTTCTATCTTTCTTTTCTCATCCCCCCCCCCCCTCATTACATCTTTTCCTCGGTTCAACTTTCTCCTTTTTCCTGTCTTTCTCTTATGTTTCACACCCCCCCCCCCCCCCACACCCCCCCACCCCTTTTCTCCGTCGTTTAAAAACAAATGTAATTCCTACTTTAATTTCGGTTTGTTTCTTTTCCCAAAATTGTTTTTAAAATGATGTCGCGTTTAATATTTGAAGTCGATTATTCAGCAGTGCATCCTTGTTCTTTATATCTGACAATTGCTATTGATGTATGATCTGCTTGTTTTCCTTTATTTTCTTCCTCTTCTTCTCTTCAGCTGTTGCATGTCTGCCAGTCAGTTTGTTTCTATATCTGTGTTTGTCTCCGTCTATGCTTTTGTCTACACATGACTGTATGTATGTACGTCTACATAGGTTAGTCTGTATGTTTGTCCGCCTCTTTATCCGTTAACCTTCCCTTCAGTTACAAATTTGTTTCTATCTGTCACGATTAGTCTGTCTAAATTCGTCTGTGTACCTCTGTGTGTCAGCTGGTTCCTGTCTCTGTTATCTTTGCCATTTTGCCTATTTCTCTGTATGTCTTGATTTATGTGTCTGCATGTCTCTGTATTTGTGTCTCTGTCTAACTCTATTTTCATGGTAGTATGTGTATCTATGTATCTTACTGTACCTGTCTGAATGTATGCCTACATGTCTTCTGTATCTGCCTGTCTGCACTTGCTATATCTGTCTGCGTGTTTTCTCTCTGAGTGTCTGGCTGTGCGTCTGAATGAGTCTGTCTTTCTCTGCATAAAAATGTCCAAGAATCATAACTATTCATGATATGTTTGAATTATTATAGCGAGCATCTGGATAACCTCTTAACCACCTCCAGCGAAACGGCAGCGTTTATACCCGACCTCAGATCTGCACGGGCAGGGTTCAAATCCCGCAGGAAGAAGTACGGAGAGAATGTACGGCCTGGCTGAACACCCCGGATTTATTGTGTTTCGCAACAAGCCGAAACCGTAAGTCGCTTGTTGTTTCTTGGCTACATGTTGTGTGCTAACATTGTCCTGGTTGGGTTTTTTTTGTTTTTGTTGTTGTTCTTCTTCTCATCCTTCTCTTTCCCTCTCTCTCTCTCGATCTTTATTGATTCCCCTTTTACTTTATTCCCTTTTCACTTCTTCACTCTTCTCTCATTCTTCTTTTTTATCCCCCCCACCTCTCTCTCTCTCTCTCTCTCTCTCTCTCTCTCTCTCTCTCTCTCTCTCTCTCTGTTCCACTCACTAGCATTGTATCTCGTTCTTTCTCACCCTCACTCACGTAACTGTATCTACCTTCATTCATTCTTCCGCTCGCTTGTTGTCTCTTTCTCACTTTCTTTTGTAGACTCCGCAAAGCTATTTCTGTCACCAATTCAAACGACTATCTTTTTTATTCTCTCGTGGCATTTTACAGACTCAATCTTTCTCTCTCTCTCTCTCTCTCTCTCTCTCTCCCTCTCTCTCTCTCTCTCTCTCTCTCTCTCTCTCTCTCCCGTTGTTCCTCTTTTTTCTCACCCACTACCTCTCTTTTACACACACAAGCACACTCTGTCCCTCACAATCGTCCACATTCTCTTTAATATGATGATACATCCTCTACACCTCAAATGTCTCCCTTGCAGCAAGAACGCAATTATTGGACCATTAGGGCGACCACCACCCATCATTCCGGTGACTGTTGTTGGAGAAAGTCGGGTCGGGAAAACCTCAATCATTCGCCATTTCAAGAACAGGAAATTTTCATCCAGCTATAATCCGACTTTTGGAGGTATGCGATTGTGTCCCTTGTAATAATATCTCGTCATCCCCTTGTTGGATGCAATTCTTTGTTATTTGAAGCCTCTGGCTCTTGCCAGGGGCCGCAATTTAGTCCGGCCATAAATATGACTGAACGCGGTTTCTGGGACCTCCCCACGGGTGATCCTCATCCACATGGTGGCACTTTGTGTCATCGGGTGTTTATTGCTTGTGTGATGTCCTAGTGGGGTAAAAGAAAGATAGATAGATAGATAGATAGATAGATAGATAGATAGATAGATAGATAGATAGATAGATAGATAGATAGATAGATAGATAGATAGATAGATAGATAGATAGATAGATAGATAGATAGATAGATAGATAGATAGATAGATAGATAGATAGATAGATAGATAGATAGATAGATAGATAGATAGATAGATAGGTAGATAGACAGACAGATAGGTAGATAGACAGATAGACAGATAGATAGATAGATAGATAGATAGATAGATAGATAGATAGATAGATAGATAGATAGATAGATAGATAGATAGATAGATAGATAGATAGATAGATAGATAGATAGATAGATAGATAGATAGATAGATAGATAGATAGATATGTCCGTTGTCTGCAACTTCTCCGGCATTCGGGACTCATTGCTGTCAGCGCGAGCTATAGCTCAGGGATAATGGAAGTCTCTGTCATGCCTTTTTGTATTGCATTGTAGTAGTAGTGGTGGTGGTAGTTGTTGGTGTGGTTATAGTGGTGGTAGTAGTTGTTGTTAGTGTGGTTATAGTGGTGGTGGTAGTTGTTGTTGTTGGTGTGGTTACAGTGGTAGTGGTAGTAGTAGTTGTTGTTGGTGTGGTTATAGTGGTAGTGGTAAAGGTGATTCTAGTTCTATTTCGCCAGTGTTTTCTCTAAAATGGCGGCTGGTGCGTTATGTTGTGGTTTACAGCTTGGCTGCGATTTCTGCATCTTACAGCACACCACACTAGATTTCAACAAATCTCTATGAGCCTATTTTGACGATATGCATGCTAAAGGGTGTGGGTCTGTTGTTTCCCTTTTCCTGCATGTAAGGACACAGAAACCCAAGGAGAAGGGGGGGGGGGTGTAGCAGCAGTAGCTAAGGCAACAATAGGAAATTGAAAAGTAAACAATAAACAAGTTAATCAGCTACATATATTGATGTCCTTGCAGAAGTCAGAATATCTGACGATTAATCCCACTTTAGACTGTGGTAAGTGATACTGTGATCCCACGAATTCTGCAACTGTTAACTGAAGCTAAGACGGCCTCGTTACTAATTGTACTAGCAGTGTTTTGTTTCTAACAAGTGTGAGGATGATGCTTAATTAAGGCTAGTGAACTAACGTTACTTCCATCCTGATTAGTTTCTGAACTAAACCGGCCTGTCGTAGCACGCAAACCAACGACCTACTTCAAACGTTGTTGTCCCACGAACTGTTCAGTTCCCACAGACCAACGGTTCTCCTCATTTGATCTGTTTGCAGTTATGGATTACTCAGACTAAATTTGTTCTTAGCCCTACCCCCTTACACAGGGAATGAACTAAACACTCTTGGAATGTTTCAATAGTTAGAGAAATAGTTTATACCGATGATGTGTGGAAACAAAAGAAGTAATTTGTAAGTGCACTAAATAATAGTTGCAATCAAATAACACATTGAAAACCAGAGTATACAGTTTCGTCTTAACACCAGAAAGATAATAACACAGATAGAATGTTTTAAATCACAATCGTTGTGGAATTTAAAACTGTGGGTATTGTTCACGTTTCCTGGCACATCTACACACTTTCTCATTCTGGACTAGGTCAAAGGGGTGTCACGTTGTACGTGTCTTTTTTTTTTTTTTTTCGAAAAAAGTCTTTTGTGACCTAGGCTCAGGCTGTGGGTAGGGGAATTTTGGTTATGACCAGTTCTAGACGTTCTGGGGTCTTTAAAAGCTGTGTCGTCGTGTAGTATAGACTACCCGACATCAGCGCTGATGTAATTGGAGGCAAAACGACATGATACCCCTCTTACGTAGAACAGTCTCAGAAAGTTCAGCATGAACATGAAAGGTCAGCCAGTGTGTAGATGGGCCAGGAAACGTGAACATGACCATACTGTTTTGGTACCTCCTGTCCCAGTACAGAATTACTTCGTTCAGCAGATACAACAAAACACACCTGCTACAAATGCAAAGCGTAAAATATATGCGGACTTAGCATGTTCCCATGTATAGACGATACATTTTTATGTCTTGTAATGCATGTCATATTATTTCAAATATATATTTTTATATTTATTTGCCATTCAATAGATTGTTATTAATATTGTTGTTGCTGGTACTTCTTTTACATACTGGGAAATAAAGGCGGCCGGTGTGGTGTTAACTACATAACTCACCGATGCCTTTTTGCCTATAAAATAAACGACTTGCACTATATGTCCAATGAAGGCGTTGAAGAAGTTCCTTTACTGTACTTATGTTACAGTGGCCAGAACCCAGATAGAGGTACCAACACCGAACGACATCTGTGATCCCAAGGTGATCTTCCGTTTCTTGGACACCAACGACGTGATCCTGGATCGAAAACTGGCCACAACCGTCACGGACAGACTGGACTCTCTCATGGCCAGCTTCTCTCGTTTCATCCTTATTGTTTATGACGTCACAGATCACGTGAGTTGCCCATTTTTGTTGGTGAATAAAGTCAGGAAATAAAGGATAAGATGCTAAGTAATGATAATAATGTAGGAATGTGAGACGAAGTATGCAAAAAACAAAGTCAGCCAGATTAACTAACAACGAGTACACGATAAAAATGCAGAATTTTGTATTCTTTTTGTTTCTTGAAAAATGACCTTGACTGACAGGTAGATCCATTCTTAAATGAGTGTCAGGTAGAGTCCTGGAAAGTAAATGTGGCCGGACTTATGCTGACCACATAACCCATTGAGTGCCGACTGTTCCATTAAAAAATAGGCCTAGAACTAGGTGCGGAAAATATTTGACAGCATGGGAAAGGTTTAAGGAACATTGTATTGAAACTGTAAGAAATAGGCAAGCTTCGTGGTGTGTGTGTGTGTATGTGCTGGCACGCGTGTGTGTGTGTGTTTGTATGTGTGTGTGATAAGTAAGGCAAATAACATTGTTAACTCTAGAAATATCTGGCATAGAAAAAACAGAGGGTGGCAGAGAGAAATGATACTTGATAGTGAAAGATTATGCCTATATTGTTGGTAGTTAGCGAGCGTTTTTTTTTTTTTTTTTTTTGATATTTTCTCCGGGTCAAGCAAGAGTGTTTGGAAAGGAACAAGCTGATTGGTCGGTTCTGCAGCAGCAGCAGCACTAATAGTAGCAACAGCAGTGCTATGGTGAGTCGGTGGTAGCTGTGGTAGTAGTGATGGTAGCAGTAGTAAGGAAACCCTGATGGTCCAGTGGCTTGAAGCCCCAGTCTGCCAGACAGGTGATCATGTATTCAAAGTTGATTTTAATAACTGCATTTTGATCCCTGGTCAGTGTAGCCTAAACGTAATACCAGGGTCAGTTCTGGGAAGTAAAGGCGATAATGTGATATTATACCACATGCTGAGTGCAGATTTGTTAAAATATTTGAATAGCTACACGTAGTGTGCCCGAAAACGTTAACACTTTTCTTTCTTTGGTTTGTTTTACAGTAGTATTGGTAGTAAGCACATAGGGCTGAGGAATTGGCTAGAGAAAATGCTAGGTAATTGGTTAGAGAAAACATGTGGTTTTTCATTAGAATTTAATAATTCCTTGAACAGCTAAGAATAGCTACCAAGATGTTTTGAAAGATGCGAGAGCTCGAAGACAACTTATCACAAATATCAGAAAGAGACAGTCATCATTTTTTGGTCATATTATAAGAGATGGAAAACTGGAACATGTTGTGACCACAGGAATGATCTGTGGAAAGTAAGACAGAGAAAGACTGTGGGAGAAAATGAAGGGTTGTCAGCAGACAAACTGATGATACACCCAGTTGCAGATCGCAGATTTGGGAGAGGCATGATCACCCACGCCAGTCGGCAAGGCACTCGATGATGATAAGCAGTATTGCTGATAACACGACTAACATTTCACGTTTTCCTGCCCACCAGGGAAGCTTCGAGGCCGCCCGAGACTGGATCCTCGTAGTGAAGAACATGATGGAGATCAGCACTACAATCATCCTCGTCGGCAACAAGTGTGACCAGGCTAGCAAGCGCCAGGTGCATCGAACTGTGAGTGTCTGTCTGTTGTTGTAGGTCTGTTATCTTTCTTGTCGGCAACAAGTGTGACCAGGCTAGCAAGCGCCAGGTGCATCGAACTGTGAGTGTCTGTCTGTTGTTGTAGGTCTGCTTTCTCCATTTCTCTTATGTTGCTACTTGTGGCATTGTCACTTATGGTGCTACTGCTGCTGCTACTTTTACTAACTACCACTAGTGCTATTGCTGCTGCCACTACCATTACTACTACTACTACACTACCACTATTACCACCACCACCACCATCACTACTACTACTACAACTACTACTATTACTACTACAGCACTACCATCACCATCACTACTACTACTACTAATACTACTACAGCACTACCACTACTATCACTACTACAGCACTACCACTACTACAGCACTGCTACTACTACTACTACAGCACTACTACTACTACTACTACTACTACTACTACTACTACTACTACTACTACTACTACTACTACTACAGCACTACTACTACTACTACAGCACTACTACTACTACTACTTCAGCACTACTACTACAACTACTACTATTACTACTACTACAGCACTACTACTACTAAAGCACTACTACTACTACTACTACTACTACTACTGTGCTTTTCACGTTTTGAGGCCCAGGATTAGAGAAACTATCCTTGCCATCCATGCCTCCTTAGGTCACTGAACGTTTCCTATGTTAGGAGGGAGTCATGCTTTCCTTATTGTAAATGGTGTAAACATTGCCTCTTTTCTCGTTTTCTAACCGCTCACTTGCGAGATTAATTTCATGTTCTGCTACCTGTGTGACAGTTCAGGAGTATGGAAACAGCAATATTTATCTATTCTTTGTAACTGCTTTCTTCATCTCGAGGGAACGAGAATGTAAAAATAAAAAACATCCAATTGTCAATAGCCAAAAATTGTCACGCCTGGGCCGCTTTCCCCTACAGTACTTCTTACATGCACTCAGGCTTCTTTAATGTTATTCCCTTTCATATTAGCAACTCTTTAACACGTTATTCTCTTACATATTAGCAACTCTTTAACACGTTATTCTTTTACATATTAGTGCTTCTTTCTCATGTTCTCTTCTATGTTAGTGCTTCTTTAACACGCTATTCTTTAACACGTTATTCCCTTTCATGTTAGCAGCTCTTTAACATGTTATTCCCTTTCATGTTAGCAACTCTTGAACATGTTATTCCCTTTTATGTTAGCAACTCTTTAACATGTTATTCCCTTTCATGTTAGCAACTCTTTAACACGTTATTCCCTTTCATGTTAGCAACTCTTTAACACGTTATTCCCTTTCATGTTAGCAACTCTTTAACACGTTATTCCCTTTCATGTTAGCAACTCTTTAACATGTTATTCCCTTTCATGTTAGCAAGTCTTTAACATGTTATTCCCTTTCATGTTAGCAACTCTTTAACACGTTATTACCTTTTATGTTAGCAACTCTTTAACATGTTATTCCCTTTCATGTTAGCAAGTCTTTAACAAGTTATTCCCTTTCATGTTAGCAACTCTTCAACATGTTATTTCCTTTCATGTTAGCAACTCTTTAACATGTTATTCCCTTTCATGTTAGCAACTCTTTAACACGTTATTCCCTTTCATGTTAGCAACTCTTTAACACGTTATTCCCTTTCATGTTAGCAACTCTTTAACACGTTATTTCCTTTCATGTTAGCAACTCTTTAACACGTTATTCCCTTTCATGTTAGCAACTCTTTAACATGTTATTCCCTTTCATGTTAGCAAGTCTTTAACATGTTATTCCCTTTCATGTTAGCAACTCTTTAACACGTTATTACCTTTTATGTTAGCAACTCTTTAACATGTTATTCCCTTTCATGTTAGCAAGTCTTTAACAAGTTATTCCCTTTCATGTTAGCAACTCTTCAACATGTTATTTCCTTTCATGTTAGCAACTCTTTAACACGTTATTTCCTTTCATGTTAGCAACTCTTTAACATGTGATTCTCTTCTATCGTCCAGGCAGGCGAAGTCTTGGCTCTCAGGCATGACATGATGTTTCTGGAGACCTCAGCCAAAGAGGGCAACAACTTGGATCATTTGCTGGCCTATATCACAGCTGTGTGAAGGCAGTGTGGGGGATGTGACAACATCATAGTTGTGTGAAGGGAACATTGGGGATGTGACAACATCATAGCTGTGTGAAGGGAACATTGGGGATGTGACAACATCACAGCTGTGTGAAGGCAGTGTGGGGGATGTGACAACATCATAGTTGTGTGAAGGGAACATTGGGGTTGTGACAACATCATAGTTGTGTGAAGGGAGCATTGGGGATGTGACAACATCATAGCTGTGTAAATGGAACATTAGAGATGTGACAACATCATAGCTGTGTGAAGGGAACATTAAAGACTTACCACTATACCACACATGAATAATGGGAACATTAAGTATTGACTGCAGCAGAGCGTGGTACAGTGATTGGGACAGATAGCCTGTCTGAAGGGAACACTAATGATTCACATTACATGATTTGGATTATCCACCACACTGCAATTCATAATAGAACTCAAGTTTGCTATGTACATACATATTTATAGTATTTTGTTTTTTATGTTCTAAGACTTGTTTTGGCAGCCATGAATCTCCTGTTTATGTTTTCTAGCTTATGCACTTTATCACTATAACTGATTGTATATAATATGAAAGCTCAGGGAAATGACTTATTGAAAATGTAAATTTATCTTGCTTCTGTAACATAGGATATATGGGTGGCTGTGAGTGATGTGTTTTATGACTGGGACAGATATGTGGGAGACTGTGAGGTAAAATGTGGGAGACTGTGAGGGATATGTGGGAGATTGCATAATGGATATATGGAAGACTGTAAGTGATATGTTAATGACTTAGTGAGGTATTAGTGAAAATGTGAGAGATATTTTGGAATTTGTTGGTGACTGTAGGGGATGTATGGGTGACTGTGAGGAATGAATGGGTGACTGTGACGGAGTTTGTTAACTTCTTGCCTTTGTAAAGAAAGTCTGCTGGATTTGGGAAATTATTGTAATTTATATGATGTTTTTTTTAGCTGTGTAGTATTTAGAAAATGTGTTTTAATCGCTCATTTGTTGAAAAATGTTTCAGCCCCGCAGCAATCCCAACATTAGCTACCTTACAGTAAGAAAATTGGTTTGATCAACTATACAGCAAATACATTTGTTTTAACGTTTATGATATACATTTTTTTAGATGTTACATAAACACATTTATTTTAGTCAAAGTGTGTTAAAAAATGAATGTCTGTCATCAAACATTAGAATAACAAAACAAAAAAAATGTGTATACAAGTGAGCCTAATTGTATGTCCATCATTCTGCCCCTCCAGACCATACAAAACTCACTGCTTAACCAGTCACTAGAGATTAGTATACTCAGTCTGTACCAATGCACTGTCCAAAGTTACTTTCATTCAACAATGAAGTGTTTTATTTTATTTGTTAAATGCGATAATTATGTTCATCATACACAGACTGGATCGGAAAGAGGGATGGGGGGTGGGGGAATGGGGACAGTCTAGATGGGATCAGAGTTCACAAATGAAAGATTCAAGTTTTACAATACACAGTTTCACAATCAAAAGTCTAGTGAATCAACCAACTTCATCTGTATTGTTATCTGTTCATTGCTAAAGGTTTTTACCCGCTATTGTTTATATAAGCTGTAGTTTCCATGTATTGTTCAATTGCAACTATTATTATTATATTTAGGGAAACTACAGGCAGCTTGAGCCTGGTGTCCAATGCCTTAAAAAATATTCTTCACTCTTTTTCACGAGTTATGTACCTATTTGTCTGTCTGTCTGTCTTTGTCCATGTCCATCTCTCTTACTGGTTCTGTATTTCTTTGTCAATTATTTTTTTTTTCTTATTGTTTTTCACATTATATACGATAACTTTCATTCCGAGAAGAATCGAGCAGAGGCTCACCAAACTGGCTACAAAATGGAAAATATAAGCATGGAAAGTGATATATAGTGAATAAACAGCTGCAGGGTTACATAAACCAACGACGATCAGTGCCTTAAACATCACATAAACTTAAACATCAGAATGAAAAGCTTCATAAAACACCCTGCTATCCCAATAGAGACAACATAAAATTATAAATACAATTGTCCGATACTTTAGGATATCCAGCAAGAGCCTACAACCTGAAAATCGAAACACTGAGGCAGGGAAAGACCGAGAAGATCATGGATTGAAGGAAAAACTGAGACTGCCTAACATCACGGCATATCAAGCGACCTAGCTCAGCTGCCGATCGCCTATCAGCTGCGACGCCTAGTGACTGTGAGTGATGCATCAGTGACCGTGAATGATGTATGGGTGACCGTGAATGATGTATGGGTGACCGTCAATGATGTATGGGTGACCGTCAATGATGTATGGGTGACCGTCAATGATGTATGGGTGACCGTGAGGGTTGTATGGGTGACCGTCAATGATGTATGGGTGACCGTGAGGGTTGTATGGGTGTGAAGGATGTGTGCATACGCAGATATTGACAAAATAATAAGGAAGCATCGACGCCCACAAGAAACCTAAAATAAACATCAATGAGAACGGTGAAAGGTGTTGGTCTGGATTCCCTCCATGATATTGAAGGGACTGGACAAGACAAGGCGGAATGGAAGAATAGACTATGAGCCCTATGTGACATAGAATGGTACAATTAGACAATGAATTTATGAACTTAATTTTTCTTTCTTTCCCACATTGACACCTTTCTGTCTTTCAAGATGATAGTGTGTATAACTATATTATTGTAGAAGACAAGTGTGGGTTCATAAATAAAAAACGGGGAAAGGGGGGGGGGGGGAGAAAAAAAACCACTGTATGGTAGAATGAACAAGTAAAGGACCCCCAAAAATATGTTTTAGAATAATTAAAAACAAGAACCGTAGAAGATTAAACTCTATTGGGATAATTTTAAAAAATAATCAAAAGATTAATCCTGGACAACATATGGAAATATTTTAAATGAACCCTCAACAAACTGTCCCTTGCATTCTTTAAAAGGTTTGAGGCTGTGTGTCTGAGAGGTGGGAGTTTCAGCCCCTCCACAACAATAAATGATGTATACACTAGAGAGCTCTTTATAGTGCCAATGAAATAAAAACCTAGATGGGCGGCATACTCCAATATTTACTAAGGCCTACAAGGATTATGCAGAACCAGTACTTTTAGAATAGGAACTGAATGAAGCCATTAAAGAAAAAAAACTTCCACAAAAAAGGTTACAGGAATTGGTAATATTCGAATCGAAACATGTGAGGATGTGGGCCATAAAATCGCAGATCTAAATCATGTGTATGCTGACTGTTGGTTTCTTGCCTCTCATGCAGATGTGCTGTGACTTCCAAAGAAGCTTCCCAATTAGTCGACGCTTACGACATACCTTTCAGTAGACAGTGGGCCTGTTTTTGTTTTCCTCACAATGTGGTTCCAGAATTCACAGAGGAAACAAACAATTCATACTAACGGTAGTACTATTATGTGAAGTTTGAAATTAACAATTAATGGCTGGTAAGAATTATCATCACAGCACTCTGGACAAAAACCATACATGTTCCATTCTCCTCCTTAAAAGATCCACAAACGTAAAATGACTGATGACTTTCCGTGTTGATTAAACAGATGTCCCGTGACCTTAATAAAATTTCCATGTCTGGCTGCTCCAGGCTTCAACCCCATGTCAACCAGCCTGGACAAGAATACTGAGTCCTGCTTGTTGTTGTGATCTTATTTGCAATATACACCTGGCATGACATTAATGACATCAGGCCAGTGCCAGGTCAGTTATTGTTGCCGCCATAGGCCCTGGATAATCTGCCCACTTATTGCCTTGAATACCCGCATAGCTCGGCACAAAGGTAAAGATAAAGCGATTTTGTGATATAACTGATGAGAGACTCCATTCTTGTATGATGAAGCTGGTTTGAATTTTCATGAGAATATTCAATAAGTCGCCAAAGATCTTAGCTAGGCATGGCTATAGGGCAAGAGACCAGAAAACTGGCACAGATTTGTGATTGTGCCAATATAGGAACACAAGAGCAGCAAGAAAAAATGTGGTCGATACAGAGTCATATCCTTCTTAGAGGAACGAAACTCCGACTCTACAAAAGCATCATTTTGCCAGTTCTTCTTTATGGAGCGGAATGCTGGAGAATGACCAAAAAGGATGCACACAAGCTGTCAACCTTCCACCTCACATGTCTACGTAGAATTATCACAATTTTCTGGCCAGATACAATCTCAAATACTAAACTACTTCAAACCACAAACCAAGAAACTTTAGACAGTATGATTACCAAGAGAAGATGGAAATGGCTTGGCCACGTTATGAGAATGAATCCTGATATACCCGCCAAAACAGATCTCACATGGACACCAGAGGGAAAGAGAAAACAGGGGCGCCCAAAAACAACATGGAGACGAACGATGGAAAGTGACCTGAGTGCGGCATCTTTGACATGGAAAACTGCACTGAAGATTGCTTAGGACAGGAAAGCATGGAAAGTCCTCTCTGAAGCCTCATGTGCCACTAGGCATAACGAGAACTGATGATGATGATATCCTTTTTAGGCACACAGGAAAATGTTACGCAAGTATTTTGCAACAAAGATTAAGATATAAAGAGCAACCATTTCTAAAAAAATTTGCAGTTTTGCTTCGGAAAAGAAAATGGGTGCATCGATGTTGCCTTTACACCATGACAGATGCGTGAGAAAACCATTGAATATAACAAGAAGCTAAACATGGCTTTTATTGACAAGAAAACGCCTTTGAACAAACTTAATCTGTCTTCTAGATTCAGGAAGCATTTTTTAATTATTTTGCAGCCCCATCTTTGCTGTAGTCAGGGGTTGTAATATAAGTTAACGGCTGAACGGGGTTTCTGGGACCTCTCCCCGGGTAATCATCAGCATGGTGGCATACAAGGGCAGGATGATCATCCGCATGGTGGCACTATGTGTCACCGAGTGTTTATCACTTGGTGGATGTTCTGCTGGGGTTGAATCTCATCACCTCATCACGAAGCGACTGAGTAAACTGAGACAT